TGTGATTTTTAACAATATTTTAATTTATTGAAATTCATTTTAATTACATAGGCTACTATTACATTTAATTACATACTAATATTATGCATTATTATATGCACTGTAAATTATGTGTAACACGGCAAAAGTTATCAGTATAACACTGTGTTATATTACTCTGAATAGATATAGGGCTAGGTTCGACTCTTGGGAGGATAAAAATGAAATTTGGGCCAAATAGTATGAAACAGCTAACAGCCAGCACATTTATTGCACATATAAGAAAAAAACAAATAATAGAAGAAACAAGTTAGTATTTTGTTGTATTGTCCCAACACAACACTGCTGGAATGGGGAAGATTCGATATTTAGTCCAGGTTGTGCATAACAGGTCCGAGAAAACAAAGAAAGAGGAAAAAATAAAATAAAATGTCCAAAAGTCCTGCAGGTTCCTTCGCAAATTTGTGTGTGTGTAGTGTAAAATGAATGTATGTATAAGGCCTTGTCGAGAGAGTACCAAGCATTTGAAGAAGTGTGCGGTTAAATCGTTCTATGGGATTCCCACGCGGGTGGTAAGGAGTTGTTCGAGTCTTCTTTATCCCCAACAAGAGACAAAGATCCTTAATCACCGCAGACTCAGTCACGACCTTGGTCGCTGTGCAAACGTTCTGGAATTCCGTAATGCACAAAGAAGTGATTCCACAGAGTTTTGGCAACTGTTTTTGCTCTCTGATCAACCGTAGGGACTGCCACTGCATATTTAGTACGGCTTCACCTGGGGGTTTTGGAACTCGGCCAGAGAAGGAACGCAGCCATTTTGAATGTGCTTGCACTGCAGAAGTGTCATTTTTGATGACATGTTCGACAACTATGCGTTGCACCTCAGGTGGGTTTAATTCATCATGAGTAAGTGCATTCAGTGCAGACTTTGGAGACTTTTTCCTCACTACTGGATCAGATTTCATTTTTGATCTTTTAGACTGTGATTTCTTTTTGTATCTTTGCATTATGGAAGTGCTGTGGTCAGAAGATGTCATATCTGAACCAGCATCATCACAACTGGTCTCACTTGAATCCAGGGAAGAATGTTCCGCTTGGGCATGCGACTGTTTAATGTGTGGGGCTAACACTTTGACACTATCTACAACTGTGGGGTTTAGCACATTTTTTATCTCTAGGGGGAAATCAGGCTCCATGAGTGCAACAGGAGTGTGTGTATCGAACTCTACTACTACAGTAGACTGCCCTGACTGTACAGTACTGGGGGCTACTCTCACTACTTTCACCACAACTCCATATTTTGTAAGGGTTTCAGCACCCAAAAGTCCTGCAGGTTCCTTCGCAAATTTGTGTGTGTGTGTAGTGTAAAATTATTGTATGTATAAGGCCTTGTTTTATCCTACTACCCGGGTAGTGTGTATAAAGTAACAGCTTAGCTGTAATTGACGATGCAGACAGGTCCGAGTTGAACATCAGCAGTAGGCCCTTCACAGAATCACAGGGTCTGGCTCGCTCGAGCTCACATAAGCTCACAGTTGATCATGTCACCGGATGGAATCAGGCAACAAAAAAACAGTCTACACAGAACAACACAATTCAGAATTAACATCTCTCAAGAGTCACATTAGCTTGTCACAATAAACTCCATACGAGTAAACATAAATTGGCTATTCATTGATTGAGAATCACTGGGAAGCAGTCTGAAGCGCTTTAAAGCATGTCAACATATTGTGTAACAGCGCCGCCTTGTGACACTGCAACGTGCAGCGCTCTTTTTTTATGAAATCATTTTGAAGTTTCATAATCGATAGGCTATATCGCGATTTATGTTTTTCCATCCCCAAAATATAAGACCACTTAAAATGATCATTAAGACGTTTGTTTTACCATTTCATGTATTGAAGACTTTTTAAAGGGGTCATATGATGCGATTACAATTTTTCCTTTCTCTTTGAAGTGTTACAAGCTCTTGGTGCATAAAGAAGATCTGTAAAGTTGCAAAGACTAAAGTCTCAAATCCAAAGAGATATTCTTTATAAAAGTTAAGAGTCAACCACACCTATCTAAAACGGCTCATTCTAACACGCCCCCACATGTCTACGTCACGATGTGGGAAGATTTGCATAACGCCGCCCAAATGTTCACACAAAGAAAGAAGGCATAACTTTTATTCTCGCTGTAGTATTGTTGATGCCGC